TTTCAAACAGGAAAAGAAATTTGTCAATGCCAATGTCTCTGCTATTCAAATCAAATATGTAAACATCTATAGAGGCAAAATCATAAGAGCTGATCTTTTTCTAAAGCTTCCTTCTCCCTCCGTACTTTCCCTTAGTATCACTAATGCATAATTTATCCAGGATTAAAAATGAAATGAAGAAAAGCATTTTTTCTTGGGTCCATATTATGGGGGCAGAGTGCTGGTTATAGTGAGCTTAACCCTTGAGAAAACTGAAGCGCGGTGGCATCCTTGTGGTTTTATCTTAGCATGGCCAATACATGACAATTACCCAGAAGCTAAAAAAAAAACTTATATACTGCGTTGGGGTTTTTTTAGCAGTATCAGCTAGACAGGGCTCGGCATGTTGTCACACCCCGGAGGTTGTACACTTCGGCTGTTCCCACACATGCTTTATCAGCAACAGCTTCTAACTCAGTGGCAGTTTTGCGATCCACTTTGGGGGAACTGGTGTTTAATGCCTTGTCACCACCACAGTGTAACTAGTGCGTTTGTCCACTGGATGGTGCATCACTTATTTCTGCAGCCCTAAACAGTGTTAGTCATACTGACCCCGGGAGGTTGGCAGAGAGCCTATCTCCAGATGCAAATGCAGGGAGAAAAGGTGTATAGGCAAGGCACTTATTTGACATTTTTTAAAGAAACATCACATACAATGACATGTAACAAATACAGGCTGAAACCATGGTCTTATCTCCCAGATCTGAGCTTGAAGTACAGGCATGTCTGGGTCTTGTACTACAGATGTGAGTCTAGCCATTATTTCTGGATGTAGTTCCGAAAATCCAGTTACAATGGCAGCTCTCTGAGGAGGACAGGCCATGATGCATTTTTTTTTTCTCTCTTGGCTTTGATTTCTGTTCAAATCCTGCTGGAGAGGCCGGAAAGCTTTGCACAGCAAATGCAGCTGGTGCTCGCTGCAGTGCAAAGATCCTGAGAGCCAGTTTGGACCTCAGAGCTACGCTTAGTCTGATTTTGCAGGCCCTTGTTTCTGAGGGTGCCAAAGCATTTTTTTGGGAAGTAATACAGTCTTAACATACTGATTTCCTCTGCCAGGCAGCTGGATTTAAAGGAGGCGGTGCTGTTTAAAATGTTCACATCGCAATGAGAAGTTTGATGGTCAATATTGCAGATAATTTAAGAGCAAGTTAGGAGAAATTCTTAAATTCAGCTTGCTGTGTTCTCGCCATTTTTAGCGCCGCTCATCAGTCGCAGGTTTCTCATTTCCTCCTGGACTTAAAACCAACCAAATCAGTTGAAGATTCTCCTCCCCAAGTTTTTGCTTAGTGCGTGGAGCAGATCTTAGACTTGTTTTAATATGCACAGAATTGTTTTTTTGCCATGCTGAAAACATTACCGGGCATGTCAGGACTTTGGTTCTTCTGCGAGTCCCGCTGGTTTGGAACCCATTTCCACAGCAAACAATATTGCCAAGATAAATTGTTTGCCAGAGATAACTTCAGGTGCTCAAACAAATTACCTAAGAAACGTTGAAACATAATGCTGCACGAAGCAGATTGTTTCCGTGCTTCCTGTCCTCGTAGGAAGGAACGGAGCTTATCTCTGTTATAGATTCCATAGAGACAGCCACAATACCTTAACCCGTGCGTTGTTTAGACTATGGGAGTTTTTGAATACTTCACGTATCAGAGGAAGATATGAAATATTCATGCCCCATTTTTCCTGCCCTCAGAAATGCAAATACCAAAGTTAAAATGATTTTTATAAGGACTCCAACAGTTTGGCAAAGGGCAGAAAGCTGCTCATTGCATTAGAGAAAAAAGGAAGCGTCTACAAGAATATGCCATTTGCCATAGACTCTTACATCTCGAGCAGACTAGTGCTGTGGAGGGTTTAATTATGCGCATGTTTGTAAAGTCCCAAAGGTTTGTCACTTGTGTGGATTCTTCCCCGTTGAATATTGCTTTGTGTCAACACCGCGTTTAAATTTTAACTAAAAATAAAAGCTGTTTTTCATAATCCATTCCCTTTGCAGACTTTCTCTGTACTGAGCTGTGTCTGCTGTGCTGCAGGTGCAGGGTGATAACATTGTGACACATCTCCTATTTTTGGACTGTTTTCAGTCCTTCTGTGACACAAACTGAAGTTAGAAAACAACCTTTATTAGCTCCCTGGCTCTCTGCCTACGCTATGGGGTTAACTTTAAGATGAATACCTTGAATATTAACTGAAGCAATGACGATTTACATAAATACATTTCCGAACCTCATTGTCTTAATTCTGGTGCCAGTTCTGCTTTTAGTTCTTTTCTGCCTTTGATGGGATGTGGTCTATGAATAGCAATAACGCAATACAGAAGAGTTGTGCCCGGTCTCAGAAAAGGGGAACTGTGTAAAAATAAGGAAGCTTTTTAAGAAGGTGGTAGAAAGAACTTCTAAGACACTAACAACTTTTGAAGGATAGATAGAAACATGATTGTAGAAGCAGAGTTAAGTGCCCATCAGTATCAGAAAAGATGAGATAAAGGGCAAAAGGAAGCAGCAGAGCCAAGGAGGTTGTTAAAAACGAGTTGCATTTGAAGAAAAAAAAATGGAAAGTACCATAAGCACTGATCTGTTAAACACAAACGGCAGCAGAGTTGGTTATAAAAACAAATTCAGGGACAACTGAGTCAAGGCATAAAAATGTAAAGTAATAGGATGTCTGCTGAGAGGGCTGTAGAGCTAACAGGGAGCCAAACCACTCAGAAGACAACAGAAAGAGTGGGTTCTGAGAGCCCCATCTTTCTCCACGGTGAGATCAGGAACGCTTCAACCACTCCTGAGAGGCTGGGTTTATTTTAGTGTAGGGAAATGAGACTAAATGCTTGCTAATTGCAAAAGGAATAAGAAGATCTATTGTGCAGCCAGCCAAAAGCCTTCAAAAATACAGCTTCTAGAAATGGTGCCTACAAGAGATGCTGGGGGGATGTCCGCTGTGATTTTCTTCTTGGTGCCTTGGATGAAATGGGCTGCCAAGCCTCTTCCCTGTCCATCGGCTGGGGCTGGCAGCGGGAGCAAGCAAAGGACCCACTTACACTGAGAGCCCAATAAAGCAGGGTCAGAAATCTAAAAGGTGAAGAAATTTTTCACTGTGAAGGTGGTGAGACACTGGAACAGGTTGCCCAGAGAAGTTGTGGATGCCCCATCCCTGGAGGGGTTCAAGGCCAGGCTGGATGGGGCTTTGAGCGACCTGCTCTGGTGGGAGGTGTCCCTGCCCAGGGCATGGGGTTGGGACTCGATGGTCTTTGAGGTCCCTTCCAACCCAAACCATTCTATGATTCTATGATCCCAGTCCAAGAGATGGAAACAGCCACAACCTTCAGCCTTGGAGAAGAGCCGCTGCTATTGCCCTCAAAACCCCCCGGCAGCCCCAGGGGCAAGACCCCAAA